TTCTCTTGGCACACTTTGGGTTCATTAGTACCAATTGAGCATAGTGTAAACTCCACAGCCTACCTCAGTATTGTTGCTGACCACCATCCCTTTATGACCACAGTGTACCCATCTTCTTATGGCTACTTCTAGCAGGATGTAGTGCCATGTGATAAAGTGCTGATCATCTCAGGCCCCGTTTACACTAGTGCGTTTTAGTTTGAAAACGCCTAAGTTTTGCTACGGTTACGCCATCCGTCCACACTACGCCGGAGTTCTCGAGCGCCGAAAACGGAGCGTTTCGAAAACGCTGGAGAGGCTGTTTTCATTCTAAAACGCTGCTGCTCCGTCTCAGTGTGGATGGGGAAAGACGGAAACATCTGAAAACGGAGGCGGGGCTGCAAACGTTCGCCTATCTGATTGGGGCTTTTTCCTCAATATTAAGTAGCCCACACAGTTCAGCCACGCTTCCTCTTCTTGTAAGTTAAGACTTCGCAAGTTTGATCAAGGCTGCAGTCTCCCCCTTCTCAGTTTGATATGGAAAACATACCGAGGACACGGGTAAATCTTCAAAGGGAACAGTGTACTTTATAACTTCATTCACATCACCTTGGCTACGTTGTTTCACTTTCTCAACAATAAAATGTAAACATGATTTAAGGAACTGCCTATTTTCTTTTTAATATTAGCTACTTAACAGACAGCAGAAATGTTGAGGCGTCGTGCTGCATATATGAGCGTCATCTTCACTGTGTGGATATTTATAACAAAACGGAGCCGATAACGGTCTCCTTTCAATTTCAGTGAAAATACGAAACACACCCTCTCTTTTGCTGAAAATCAGTTTTAATAATCGATAATTATAAAAGTATAACATGCAATAAGTTTATACATTGTAGGAAATAAAGGCAAGCGATCAGTCAATGTACCTGGATTAATCATTAACTTATCATTAACTTATCTTTGCGCTTAACCAAAACATGTTACCTGTGAACAAGTAACTTAGTAGATTCCAATGACCAAAGTCAGGAAATTGGCCTATGTCGTTAGATAAAGACAACAACATGAATGAAATATCACGTTCAGCAAATATAGTGAGATTAGATCCAGCGGGAGATGCGTGATGTGCAGCCCGACAAGCAGAGCTCTCATCTGGGTAGAATGCTGGAGCGCTTGCCCGAGAGTGTGTGTGTGGTCACGTGATGTGCGTTTTCAGCGTTTTGGTGTGGACGGAGAGCTGTTCAGAAACGCTGGGTAAAACGCGAGTGTGGACGCGGATCGTTTTCATTCTACAACGCCGTTTTAAAACTAAAACGCACTAGTGTAAACGGGGCCTCAGACTGGTTTCTTAGGGTGCTTTCACACCTGTGAATCGATTCAGTTGTTCCGAAACAGAGATTAAAATTGTTACATTGTTGCTCTTTGCTCTTGGAGCGGTTCGCTTTCACATTGCAAAGTTTCCAATCGGACCAAAAGAGCTAAAACAAGTCACGTGCGAGTAAACTCTCCTCACATTGGTCAGAGTGTCAGGGTTTATTTTGCTGTGTCCCACTCAGCTGTCAGGAGAGGTGGTGGTTTGCTGGTGATTGACAGGTGCGTGCGCGCAACGTGTCTGAGGAGAGACGCGGTGGGAAGGGGTGAGAAGGGTGCGCGACGATGCCTATTTGAGGACCGGGAGGAAGACGCGAGATTATCGGGAGATTATCACTCGTTTGCGGGCATCCGGAGACTCACGAAACTTCCCACCCTACTCATAATTCTCTCTTCATATAGCCGTAAGCCTATTACATATCCATAAAACACAGTGATATAACCGCACTCGGATCACTTTCTCATTGCAATCGAACCGCTCCAGGGTTTGTTTCAATCGAGCCGAGACCACCTCATTCAAGCGATCTCGGAGCTATTACTTTGGCGCGTAACAGAGTGCGATTGCCCTGTTCACATATGTCAAACGAACCGCGCTAACTGGGCAAACGAGACACGTTCCGAAACAAAAGTGTAGGTGTGAAAGCACCCTTAAACATGACAATGAGTGCACTGTATGGGGTATTGTGTGTGTGTGTGTTGTGTTTAAGAGAAAAAGAGTGTGTAGAAGAGACCTCTGCACACTTGATATGTCAGAGGAAATAAAAAATAAGCAGTTCAGCTTTCTATAATTTGCTGTTTTACTTCATAGAAGTCCATTGCTCATGATGTGGAGTGTGTATTTCAACATTCAACAGTTTGCATTCTTTAAACGAGTCTAAAGAGATGAGTTTATTGGTATTGTAAAGGAAAAAGTAAACAAATACAAAATTGGAATGGTAAACAACTTCAAAAACTTTAGAAACCTATCTATGATTGTTTTCAGACTTGAAGCGATAATTTTAACAGATTGTACCTTCATATTACAGGGGAGCAAAATGTATGTATTGCAAACTTAACCTTACAGTAGGTGCACAGATATCACTGACTGCAACAGTCTGTACTAGGCAATTTGTCATTTGTTAGCTTTTTTTTTTCTTTTTCCCTGATATAAGTCAATGGCTAAGACAACACAAGTGCTTCATCCAGAACTAGCTTTGGCTTCTTTTTTGCCTGAGGTTAACGGAAAAGTTCCATGTACTGGTGTACTCCGAAAGCAGGATCTCTTTAGGGAAGAACTCTTCCACCTCAGGAGGAACATCCAGATCTTTACGCTCCATGTAGGACACAACAGTGTGTTTTAGCCTGAAGGACAGAAAGAATTTAGTGAGTTATGGTAAATATCTATGATCAGTCACATCACAATCTATACTTATTCTGGCCATGCAGATTTCTGTACACTGTAAAAAAAAAATCTTGCTGCCCTAAAACTTTTAGTTGAATCAAACTTTTTTTAACCAAATCAAACTGACTAAAAATATTAAGCTAAACTTTGTATAAATTTAGGTGAAACCTGATTAACTCATTAAAACAAGCTAAAGCAACATAAAGAAATTTACTGTCTTGACTACTTGTCATTACATTTCATACTGTTATGATCACCTGCGATCTAGCAGCTGCAATTCTGCCTCTGAAATGACCTACAGATCCCATCATGCACCTCACACACACACCAGCTCCTGTTCCCTCCCTGATTACAGACACAGCTGATGCTCGTAAGGACTGATGACCAGGGCTGCGTCCGAAACCGCATACTTCCATACTATTTACAGCATGCTAAAATCAGTATGCGAGCCGAGTAGTACGTTGTGGAAAAAAGCAATTTATTCGTATTACTTTTGTGTCTTTATTTTTTATAAGAAAATGTTTAGACTAAAAACAGATTAATCAATCAATCTTTCTCTTTTGTATGATACCACATATTGACCAGACACACTTGCTCTTTTTTTACTGTGCTGCATAGCAGCCGAGAAGGAACTGTGGGAAATAGCAGAATTAGAATAAATATAGTGCGGGGGCCCTTGTTTCAGACTGCTGTTTAATACTAAGTCTAGACATGTCACAAGGAGCATGATGCTTGTAGAAGTTGTGAAATACATTAAAGATGCACATAATTGTTCAGTTCTGGTATGCAGAAAAGGGTTGCAGAAAAAGGAAGTATGTCTGGGGTACAAGACCCAAAGGACTGCAGAATGACTGATAAGTGACGTTACCAAAACTCCACCTGTTAATATCAGTTGTGTATATATGCTGGGAAATCTCAGGAAATGTATGTGAGTTGCGAACCTCTTGAATGTAATTCTTGTATTGTATTGGGGTAACGTGACCCAGAGCTCTGTTATCGAATTATTCATTTGTATCTAATAAATTACTCATATTTTTGGCACTGAAGAAAACCCCCTCCAGACCTTTTCTTATCGAACACGCATGGAATTGGCTTGATATTACAAGAATGTCCGGATTTATAGAATTTAAAAATGAGTATGCGAGAAGTACCCGGATGACTTACTACTTGCAGAGAGATTATGAAGTGCGCATCCCATACATGCTGTGCTATCTCATGATGCCCCGCGATCGAATTTATGAATGGGAGTGAAGCGACGCAAATGTCGCAGGTAGGTCACGTGACCATGACAAAATGGCGGATGTAGTACGTCCGAATTCTGTTCATACTTTTTACATTCATAATGTATAGAACACACTTTTCTAACGGCCGAGTAGTATGTTTACATTCAAATGCATTACCTACTGAGTAGTAGGCGGTTTCGGACTCAGCCCAGGACTATTTATTCACCTCACTTTGACATACACATTGTAGTGGTGGGCAAAGCGAGGCTTCATGAAACACTGAAACATTCGTTGCAAATGTGTCGAAGCTCTGAAACATTTCGAAAGCTGTCTCTTCAAAAACCAGTGACACCAAGAGGTCATTTTTATGTATTGCTCTGGAACAGCTATAGCAAAGAAACAGCTAAGCAAATTGAGGTATTAAACCCCATGTTGTAGAGTTGAAGCTACAAGTGATTTAGTAGAGCGCTGAGAGTTCCAGACTAGCATGCAGAGATAATGGGTTTGAATCCAGGGTGATGCAGCTCTAGATGTTAGTTTTTAAATGCTATTTTTTCAACATTGGTCTGGGATCCAACTGAACACTTTGTGAATAAATATGTGTTGTTTTAGTCATAAAATGTAACATTATTAAAATACATCAAGTCATAATTTTCATTACAGATTTGCCAGTACTCGAAACGCTTTCAATCGATGCTTTAAATCGCTTTAGTCATGTGACCTGATGTTTCGAAACACTTTAGTCACATGACCTTTGTGTTTCGAATCACCTCGGTCATGTGATCTGGGTGTTTTGGATCATGCTTCAGTGCAGTGTTTCGAAATTTGCGCTTCAAGATGTCGAAACGTCAGTTTCACGTCAGCCATTACTAACACATTGCTGAGTCTTGTTTCTCCCGCGGACATTACAAGGCATTTTTCCTGTTTGTACAACCGTGTTTTAGATCCTTGTCTTGTTTACCATTTTTAATTCTTTGCCGCCTGTCCTGACCACTTGACTGTTTCTGAATACGCTTTCTGAATTACCCTCATGCTCCAGTGTGTATCCGTTTGACTGTTGCCTGCCTGTCTATTCTTTAAATATACTACACGTGAATCCTCATCTCTGTTGCCAGAATCGCTACGTTACATTACCAGAGTACAATACAAAAGCCAGACATTAACAAATCACCCCTCATTTCCGTAAAAAAAATAATAGAAGATGCTTATTCAACAACATAAGCTTATTGTCTTATTCATCACATTATAATACATCTGTCCATCTGTACCTCAGAAATGATACGTTAAATTCTAACTAAAGCAAAAACTGAAACCCTTCCAAAACTCTTGAAGAAAGAGAAGATTTACTATCAGCTCTCACCTCCAGTCAGGCCTGTAGGTGTCTGTGGCTTTTGGGCTTTTCAGGACCAAAAGCAGAAACTCATGCATCTCCAACAGGAAGGCATCAGCGCTGGACTTGGTGAAGAAACTTGTGAGCAGTCTCTTGTGTTCCTCCTGCAATGGCTGCTTGTATTCTTTACTGATTCCAACGAATGGATCCTAAAGAGCAGATGAATAAGTCATTATTATCTTACAATCTCAACCCAAATAGTTGACTTTACAAGAAAATTTTGTGGAAACCCAATGCCTTACACCACTCCTAAATCAGTTTTTACACAAGGTTAAACTAAACAGCCCAAGTTGAATTAACCCAGAAACTTGTTCTATGCTGTTCTAAATCAATTCAACTTGGGGTTTTTAGTTTCACCGTGTGGATGTGGTTCAAGGCAATGGGTTTCCATGGAATATTCTGTAACCCTTTACTTGAAGAGGGGTGTTTATAAGACACAGAACCCTTATAAGCATTACGTGACACATGAGTGAGATTTTATGCATGCTTATGACAACTCATTTGCTCAGTTGTCATTTTGCATGTGAAGATGTCATTGTTTGATATGACAACATGACGTAAATTAATACATCACAACCAGTATTTATCTTCGTTATGACAACTTGACATTACCAAGGAAACATAACTTGTCATAAATCTGTCATAAACATGACTGTCGTGCAGCCATTATATGCGTGTCATGAATATTTTTCTGATCACTTTTTTAGTGGAGCAACTATATTTGTTAAAATGTCTCATTAAAAGTGTAATTGCCGTGTCAAATAGTTTTTACCAGCGTCAATAATATTCAAATTCAGCTTGTACCACTGTAGTTGACGTAAAAAAAAAAATATGATGATGGTATAAAATTCATGAAATATTTATAATGACTTCATGACAATCATGTTTATTACAGATTTATGACAGTTTCTTTCTTTTCTTAGTAATTTCAAGTTGTCATAAAAAAACAAAATGTTAAAAAACAATGGCAGTTGGTATAAGCATGTTTAAAATCTTATTCACAGTCATGACACGTCATATCATAATTATAAAGGTTTCATGACAGCCCTATAAACACCTCTTCAAGTAAAGCAGGGGTCACAAACCCTGCTCCTGGAGAGCTACCTTCCTGCACATTTCAGTTGCAACCCTGACCAAACACACCTGTTTGTAATTATCAAGTGCTGCTTTAGGTACTATTAATTGGTTCAGGTGTGTTTGATCAGGGTTGGGCCTGAATTCTGCAGGAAGGTAGCTCTCCAGGAACAGGGTTGGTGACCCCTGAAGTAAAGCGTTACCCAAATTTTCTAATAAAGTCCACTACTTGGATTGAGAGTGTACAAACTCACTGAAGCAACAAACCAGAATAAAGTATTATCTGTGGGTATCCATCTTACCCTCTTCAGACGTAGCATTGTCTCAGATTTCAGAGAACTGAGTAGCTGCCAAAGGGCCACACAGTGCTTCAGGCTGCACCGACTCAATGCCTGCACACACAATTGTATTTCAATCACACATTTGGCGTCATTCATAAAACACAAGCAGAGCAAAGATTTGTGTATACCCTCTATAATGGTGCTCTGATGTACATTTTCAGATTCAAGCAAGTAAGATGGAACGAAAAAGATTTGTACACCTGCACCCGACTACATGTAAAGGAGTAATAATTCTGTTTTTTAATTGATTACCTTAAATACTGGTGCTCTGACATAATATATGCATCCCAAATCACATACTTATGCACGATTCTGCACCATTATAGTTAACGAAAACAAAAAAATGAAACTAAAATGTAAAATAATTGTCGTTAACTGAAATAAAAATAGGGCGAGGCAGTGGCGCAGGAGGTAGTGCTGTTGCCTCACAGCAAGAAGGTCACTGGGTCGCTGGTTCGAACCTCGGCTCAGTTGGCGTTTCTGTGTGGAGTTTGCATGTTCTCCCTGCCTTCGCGTGGGTTTCCTCCGGGTGCTCCGGTTTCCCCCACAGTCCAAAGACATACGGTACAGGTTAATTGGGTAGGCTAAATTGTCCGTAGTGTATGAGTGTGTGTGTGAATGTTTTCCAGAGATGGAAATTATGGTGTTACAGCATTAAACATTTATTATATTATTCATTCAGCCTCGCCATACAGTTTGATAGATCTCTTGGACTTTGAAGCTGCATCAGCTGACTTTATATATATTGTAAGGCCATTCACCCAATGAAAGTATACAGATCCTATGTAATACCAGTGAAAATGGCATCCACCACGATATCAAACAAGGAAGAAATGTGTATATGGCAAACCTTGAAGACATGTGTAGCCATGTGGTCAGTCATCTGCAGCACATCCTTCAAATAAACGCCTAGCTGCATGTTTGGCTCTCCCCCCGTCATAGCAAGGAAACCGACAGCTAGCTCAACTGTGGACAATGCCTCACACACGTCGCTGTAAGACTGTAGCTCCTTGACGAGGTCATACTGTGTGAGAGGCTGCAACAACTCCTGTAACAACACATTCAGAATCATGTTTGTATATTAGCTCTTATATTTTTTTACTTTGTACTTTTTTTCTACAACCACATACTCTCAGTCGAAAGTCTTTAAATAGTTTTTATTTGCTTTTATTGCATAACTTCTATTTCTCCAAATATAGATCCTTATTGTTATTGCTATCATTATTTTA